GGGGCTGGCTGGCATGTGGTGCTGGGGGATTGAACCGCGGTCCCAGTGCCTTGCTAAGCTTGTTCTAAGTAGGTGCTTTAGAACACTGAGCCATCTCACCAGCCCTGTTCTTTTAATTAGTATTTTTTGGTTTCTTACAGGACAGGCCCCTTTCTTTTTTCAAGATAAAAGTACACTCTGTAATTCTTGCTGAACTCTTGGCAATCTTCCTGCCTTGGCCTCTGAAGTGCTGGAGTTACGGGTGTGTGCCAACATGCCTGGTGACAAGCCCATTTCCTATACAAGGACTCCTAAGTGGAATTCTAGGGTTTTAATTCAAGTCCTTTTAGCTTTGAGGCCAAGCCTGAAAGACTGTGCACATGGTAGCCCCTGCTCTTTTCTTCAGTGGCACATATTCCAGATACAAGCCTGTTACCCAAGCAGAGCAGCGGAGGCCCACAAGGGCCAGCCCTGATCAAAATAAAAATGCAAAGATGTTTAACACACGTGCCAGTGCCGGGCACTGTCCTAGACCTGTACTCACGATGTGGAAGCCATTGGCTACACAGGGCTACTGAGGTGTGAGAACAAAATACACACTAGATTTCAGATTTTTTTTGTTTTTTTCTTTTCAAGACAGTGTCTTCCTATGTAGCTCAGGCTGGCCTTGAACTCATGGCCATTCTCCTGCTTCAGCCTATTGAGTGCTGGGACTACAAGTGTGCGCCACCTTAACAACTCTTTACAACAATTCCATGCAAAAGATAGTATTTTTTAAAAATTATTATTTTTGGGGGTATTTTAGGGAAGGGTCTACAGGGTGTTCAGGGTCTCACTACTAGATCGGATTTGTAGTGATCTGCCTGTTTATAGCCTCCCAAAAGCTGAGATCACAGGCACATGCCACCATGCCCAGTCTCAATTGCCCTCTTAAGGGGTTGGAGCCGGTGCAGCAGGCCCCGGGGATCAAACCCCGGCCCCTGTGCTTGCTTGCAGGCGCTTTAATCTGCTGAGCTATTTGGCCTGCCTTTTCAAGACAGAATTTTAGACACACTACATTAAAATGTCTCCCAACTATCCCCCCTTTTTAAAATACAGGTATTGAAAAATTTCCAACTGTGCATACACTTTTATGATTCTATAGAACTGTGCTCAGTGCAGCAAGTGAGCCCGTACCTCAGAAAGGATGTCCACCAGGGCCTTCATGGGCTGCCCCTGTAAGTGGTTGTAGTGGTGGCTCAGGACTTGTAGCAGCTTCACCGATTTCATCAGGGCCTTCTGGTCCTTGTACCCACAGAGAGTAGAAGGTATGAGCAGAGCATGCTACTGTACCCCATTCCTAAGCCAGCCCAGTGGCTCTTGCACCTCAGAGCCCCTACCTTCATTAGTCGGCCTGATTGAAACAGGGCCAGCACTCCAAACAGATTTGCAAAGAGAACAGGTCTTATCATCGTCTAGGAAAAGATTTTAGGGACAGTAAGAAAGGCCCAAGCACTGCCCAACCTCCACCACCAGAGCTGGTAGCCCTGAGGCCATGCTCACCTTTTTTGCAGTATTCAGTGCATATTTTTCTTGTACCTGTTCCAGGATGCTGCACAGGGAGATGTCTTCAAAAGACTGTAATAACTGCCAGAAGCAGTGGCAAGAGAAAGGGGGGTTCAAGGCAGTGGCTCAGCCATAGGCTGTCAGACCTTAACTATTCCGTCTTTCCTGGTATTGCAGATTCACTCCATGGAGTGCTGAGCTGCAACCTCATCCCTGATTTCTTATTTTGAGACGAGATTTGCTAAGCTGTTCAGCTTGGGAGTCAAATCAGCAATTGTCTTAACCTCCCACAAGCTGGGATTACAGGTGTGTGCACCATCATGCCTGGCTTTAATCACCCAGGAAGCCTTGAATCCCTATTCCCACCCCAAGGATGCCTGTGAAGCTTACAACCCTCTGAGTAGTGCTGATGGGATGCCACCTTTCAAATGTAATGGAATCTTGTTTCCCCGCCCCATCTCTACCAAAGATTTTGCAGTTATCACCTATGCTCATCAGAGTGCATACTTGCAGGACTTGTAGCAGCTTCACCGCTACAAGATCCTCAGACAATCTACCCTATCTAAACAGCCTGAGCTACCTCTGGGTCAGTGAAGACCAACCTTTTAGAGACCAAGTACCTAAAACGCAATTATTTATTGCAAGGTGCCAGTGTGCTATCCCAAATTGCACTGTGTTATCCAAGGCCTGGTGACTAGGACGATCTGGCTAGCCTGGCAACAGAGAGGGCTTTCTTTGGGTGCCCGCGGCAGCTCGAGGGCCACAGGTTCACCATCACTGCTCTAGACTGGCATGGAAAAGGAAACTTGCTCAAATTCCCTCTCCAACAGCCTGTGTAGACGGATCTTGCCCACGCACTTTCTCACACTCCTGCGGCGGCCTCCCATCTGCTCCGTCTTCTCCCTCACGCTGCCCCTCCCTTAAAGCTGAGACCCTCCCCACCCCATCCCCGCACGGCTGGGTCCCTGTGGGCAGCAACGTCTCACCTGTGCCAGAGCCATACTGTAGCAGGGCCGCGCGGTTTCTCGCCCCACTCCCAGCCCTGTGACGAGACGCTTCAGAGCATACTTCATCTCGGATCCCTGGGCAATCAAAAGAATGCCGCATGTTAGACGGTAACAAAAAAGGGCCCACCCTTACCCTCCTTGGCATCTAGAGTAGCGACAGCGAGCCCCTGTCCCAAGTCCCAGGACCCGTCGCCACTTCTCGGCCTGGATCTCGGCGGCGCCCTGCCCCAAGGCCCATCACCATGCCTCGGGCCTCGCTCTCAGGTACGCCAACAGCTTCTCCGTGGCCTCCAGCCGCGTCTGCTGGTGCGGCTTTGCAATGTCCCAGAAGAAGTCCAAGAACTCGCGGCTGTGCTCCAGCAGGCCATGGCGATCGGCAGACGTCGCCCCTCCAGCAGGCGCAGGCTCCGCCACTTCAGCACTCCCCATCTCCGCCATGCTGCGCGAAACACGTGGGCTCGGGAGAGAGCCACTTCCGGGTCAGAGCGCCGCGCATGCTCGCTGGATCCCGTCGTCTGGGGGTGGGGCCGGGCTCGGCCGGGGGCGGAGCCATTGAGACACGCCTTTTTGCCCTTACTAGGTGGAAAAACCGGGTTGCCGCAGCGGACTTAGCCCCCAGGATTATAGAATATGTCTTTATACTCCACCCAGGGAGTTCCTGATGGTCCGCCTTGTAAAACAAATTCAGGTGAAGGCGAGTGATCTATCTCGGCCCAAATCTGCCAGATCGGCCCCTGAGCTCCCCAACAGTGAGGCATTCAGAAATTATTGATTTAGGAATTATTGAGCCCCTCCTGTGTGCTTGGGGCTGTGCTGAGCCAGGCATTGCTTACACGGACTCCTTTTCTAGTGGGGGTAGACGGTGGATGAACAAGTAGCCAAATACAGTTGCAAAGTAATAATTATGAAGATAATAAATAGAAGGGCCAAAAGCTGGGAGTCCTGGCACATGCCTGTAATCCCAGCACTCAGGAGGCTGAGACAGGAGGATTGTTGCAAGTTCAAGACCATCCTGGGCTACAAAGTGAGCACAAGATCAGCCTGGAGTGCAAGGACCCTGTCTCAAAATGATAAACAATAATAATGATAACAATAATAATGGAATGGAGGGGGTCAAAGAAAACATTTTAAATTTTGAAAAACAAACATCACCTAGTGAAAATTTTACAACTAATCAGAAAGGAAATTAACAATAAGGTTCTGATTTGATTTAGATTTTTTTCTTTTTTCTTCTTTCTTTTGAGGCAGGCTTTCGCTGTGCATTTCAGGCTGGCTTTAAACTCACTTTGTAGCCCAGGCTGGTCTCTTGGCACTCCTTCTGCCTCAGCCTCCAGAGTGTTGGGGTCACAACCTGTGCCACCACACTGGTCCTGGCATACTGATGTGAGGGGGTGGTCACCCTGATGACAGGTGAGCTGAGAGCTGAGTGACAAGGAGGAGACATCTTCCCCTGGAGCAAAGATCTATGCTAAGAGGGACAAAAGCCAGGCTGAGGACAATGCAGCTACAAAGGCTCCAGAGATGAAGAGGAAGAGACTGGCAGGACAGCCAGAGAAGCAAGGTTGTGTGGGACCCCAGGGCGGCACTAGGAGTTTGGATTTCATTCTGAGTGTGATGAGAGGTCATCCTCCCTAAGGGTTTCACCTCAGGTTTACATTTTTAAGATTACCTGGGGCTGTGTGGGGGATGGGTCATGCCTGTGAGGATAGGAGTTGGAAGACTAAGTCCAGGACAGTGGTTTGAGAATGGGTCAGACTTGGGCTAATTGGGAGCTGGTCAGATTTGGGCATCAGGGGAAAGCAATAGAAAAAGATACCAAGTTTGGGACCCATATAACTGGGTAGACTGTGGCACTGTTACTGAACTGGAGAAGAATTGTCTCTGGGTGGGAGGTGGAGATGGTGGCATCAAGGTCTATTGCCTCAGAGTGGACTTTGACAACCGTGAGGGAGGGGAGGTGCTACTGGTAGCCCTGCTTCTTGGCTTAAGAAGCTGTTTTCTGGTGGGTTGTGTCTAAAGAGATTGCAGCCTGGCACTGTGGTGCACACCTGTAATCCCAGCTACTCGGGAGTCTCAGGGGAGGAAGATGTATAGTTCAAGGCCCACCTGCTCAATTTAAGACTCTGTCTTGATTTAAAAAAAAAAATAAATAAATAAACAGGGCTGGGAGTGTAGCATAGTGGTAAAGCTCTAGCTTGTGGGAGGCTGGGGGTTCCTTCTCCCACAATTCTACACACCCAGCTCCTGCCCCTTTGCACTCTGACCCTTGGGGTACCCCCCACTCACACTTGCAACATCTGCCCTGACTGACTTTGATGTTAGGAGACTGACTTTGCACAAGGGGAGCAGGGCAGGGAGAAGCTGGAAGACACCAAGCACAGTTCTGCCTTTCTCTGGGGGTTGGTCACCTGTGCTGGCCTAGGGGAGAACAACCCATTGCCCTGATATCACAGGCCTCAGAGGCTGAGGAGAAATTAACCAAAAAGCAAGAATGATACTTGGCACCCAGGAAACTTGCATTTTATTTGTTCCCTGTTGAGGGAGATTGGCAAAGAATGGCCTAGAAAGGAAGATGGAGAGGCCAGCGGTAACCCGGGCACTGCCCACTCTGTCTCTTAGAATGTTCTTCCACCAGTCCTTCCTGGAGTTGGTCAGAACCAGCCCCAGGCCCAATTGCTCTTTATTACCTTCAAGTTCCTTAGCTGATAGAAGGGCCAGGAATCCCACCAGGTGGAGATGTTGTGAGGAATGACTGAGCTAGCCTGGGAGGCAGGGAATTTAAGCCCAGGTCCTTGGTTCAGCCCTTGTTCCTGCAAAGACGGGTAATTGACCTGGCCAGAAGCTGGGACTGGGCCAGCCACAAGTATGCAGCAGTTGTACCCTCTTTATACACTCTGCTGCTGCTGGGTCTGCTCTGGCTTGAGACAGCTCTGATTGTGCTAGACCCCTGCCCTGCCGTTAGAAGCCCTGGAAGGGGCAGCAGCCACTCGGGACACTGGAGACATGGGCATGTTCTGCATAGGCTGCCACTTGGAGTAGGGTCCCCTGGTCACAAATGCTGGGTTTCTCTGTTGGTCTTTGTTGGTCCTGGTGCCGATGATGGGTCTGTGTTTTGGGTCCTGCCAGATGGCTGAGCAAGGCATGAGCTACGGCCGTGGATGCCTTGGGGATCCCTGATGCCACCAGTCCTAGCACATCAGTCTCTGGGTCATCCAGACTGCCACGGAGAATGAGGGGGCTGGCCCAGGGACTTGTTGCAGACCTGGATACCAGGTTGCTGAGCAGAACACCAGTGCTTGGGGACAGTTGTCCAGAGCCAAAGGAGCTGTTGAGCGAGGAGGTGAGGAGGAGCACAGAGCCGCTGCTGTCCACGGTTGCCAAGATGCTGCTCACAGGGGACCCAGCAGTTTGTGAGAGCTGTGGGCAGGGGCTGGGGCTGGGCTTGCTGGGGTGTGGGGCTGCCTTCAACAGTGCCAGGAGCTCTGGGCCCGCTGAAGGTGCAGGCGTAGTGAACAGGATGCCCTTGGGCGTGGCAAGCTGCAGTGCTGGCTCCAAGGTGGGTGTGGGCCCAGCTGTAGGTTCTTTCAGCCCCAGGTCTCTGGCCAGCAGACTCAGGAGGGCATCCCCAGCAAGGTCTGGAGTGGAGGCAAGAGCTGCCCTGTGCAGCACAGCTGCTAGTTTTGGGTTGGAGGCTTGGGCCCCAAGGCCCAGGAGTGTCCCATCAGCATGGCAGAATAATGGGCAGAGACCCTTTGTGCCCTGGGCTGCCAGAGCCTTTGCCAGGGCTGCGTCCACAATGAAGCCCTCCTGAGCCAGCATGGCAGGATCCATGAGCAGGCGTGGCCAGGGCAGGTGGCCAAAGTGGGCATGAAGCAAACGCAGGGCGGGCAGAGCAGTGGGCAGCCCCAGTCCAGGTGCCAGTGGCTGGGCTGCTCCTGGGGTCAGGGCAGTTGAGTTTCCTGAGGAGCTGTTATAGAAAAGGCCCCAGAACATGGCACCTGGTGGGAGAAAAATGTCACAAAAGGGTCAGGGGCCCTGGCTAGAACAGGCCAGTGTCAGTAACCCAGCTGAACAGTCACTGACTAGTTTAAGATTATTATTAGGTTTTTAAAAAAGTATTTATTTATTTAATAAACGGTCTCACTATGCAACTCAGATTCATAGTGATCCTCCTGTCTCAGCCTACCCAGCACTGGGAATACAGGTGTATGCTGCCACACCTAGTTCCAGGGTTGGCACATCATGTGGCACTGGGAATCGAACTTAGGTCCTTGCACTTGCCAGGTAGGTGCTTAAAATGCTGAGCTATCTCTCCATCCCATTATTAGCATTTTTTGAGGTAGAATCTTATTATGTAGTCCATGCCAGCTTTGAACTTACTATGTAGCCTAGGCTGGCCTCACACTCCATAGTGATCCCCCTGCCTCAGCCTCCCAAATGCTGGGGTTACAGGTGTGCACCACCACTCCTGGCTGAGATTGAAGTTACTGACTGAGCTGGAGATCCCACCTGCAAGGTAGGACTGCACCGATCTAGTCTCAGAGCCCATAGTTGAGGTTTGGGGTCAGTTCCCCGACCTATGTTCTGCTCACTAGCTTGTGGTTGAGGCCACTGAGTTTTAAGACCCAGGCTTGGGGGCCGGGGAGATAGCTCAGTAGAATAAGCACTTGCCTGGCAAGGGCAGGGTCCTGAGTTCAACCCCTGGTTCTGAAAAGAAAAAAAAAAAAAAGAAACAAGAACCAGGCTTGGGTCCCTGTCCAGGGTCACGGGGTACTGACCTAGTCCTGTGGCATGAGGATGCACTACAACCAGGCACAAGGCAGCTGCAACTCCGGCGTCCACGATGTTGCCCCCATCGACAAGCAGCTGTTGACCCAGGTGGGAGCAAGTGACTATAGTAAGGAAGGGACTGTCATGGGGCGGGGCCTGGGGCTTTGAGCCCTGGTTGGTCCCTCCCCTCCCCAGCACCCACCTGCCGGGCTGATGATGGCACCATGGTGGTACTCGCCAGCGTGATGGGAGTGTCTGCTGGCTGGAGGGGCCCCAGAGCCCAAGCTTCCTGCTGAGCTGCTCTTGCCTTGGAACTGTCTCACAGCCAGGGAGCACCCCATGGCCAGCAGCAGCAGGGCTGCCACCAGTCGGGCCCAGGCTCCGGGCAGCCCGCCAGCCTTGTTCCTGCAAAGATGGGTGTTCTGAGCCAGGGCTGGGGGCCCTCCGAAAGAGCCTCCAGAAAACTCAGGGAATGTTTCCCCAAACGGTCTGATTTTGCAAGAGTATGCATTCGCCAAGGAGAGAGGGCTTCCAGGCAGGGGGCAGGGCAATGGCAATGACTCAGGGTGGAAGGAGCTGGGGCTGAGGCAGTGTGTGCACAGGCTGAGAGGCAGAGGCCTCTGGTCCACAGGCCTGAGGAGGCTTCCCGGCTGAGGAGCAGGGCCCAGTTGGTGTAGCCAGGCTCCAGCAGGTGCCGCCACCAACAGGACAGGGGCTTGCTTGGTACAAATGTCTATTCAGGCACACAAGCCTCTGACTGAGTAGCTCAGGCCTGGCCCTCCTCCATTCATTCAGAAAGTCCCTGGAGCTAAGCCAACTGATTGCCTGGCTCCCCTTAGGAACTTTGGAGAGAGGGATAGGCCTGGAAAATGGGGTGCCCAGACCCTGCCGGACTCACCAAGGGCTGACTTGAGGCCTGCTGGCATAGATGATCAGTGGCTCTAAGGTCTCTTCTTTGCCTTCTTCTTCCTCTTCTTCCCACTCCATTCTTGGCTCCCAGAACTTCAGCTTCTGGTAGAGCACAAGCTCTCCTGCAGCCTCCATGGCCCCCTGTGGCAGCTCCAGCCCTCCTCTTGCCAGCCTTCCTGGTTGAGGCCCTGCCCCAGTCAGATGGGAAGAAGGTGTGGCAGCCTTGGGAAAGGGTAGTGGCAGGATCTAGAACAGGTCTGGGCAGGGCAGCGCTGAGGAGGCTGCATGTGAACCTGTCTCAGTAGGCCACCAGTGTGTCTTTCTGCCAGGGATCACAGTTCAGTGAGGTCAAGGAGGAGCCAGCCCTGCAGCCACAGGCCTGGGGGTGGGGTCCCCCCCAGCCTTGTTCCCTTGGGCAAGCAGCCCCTGGACCCCTAGTCTGTTAGGATGCAAGGATCTGTGGGCTGGAATTAAAGCTAGAGCTCTTGGGCTGGTGAGATAGCTCAGGGGCCTGCTTAGGCAAGTGCGCAGGGACCACAGTTGGATCCCCAGCACCATGTTGTGCTATTGCAGCCCTGCCTCCAGGGTGGGCTGAACTGGCACAATAAAATAAAATAAAATAAAATAAAATAAAATAAAATAAAGCTAGAGGTCTAGGGTGGTGGCTCAGCACAGGACCTGCTTCCCTCCTGAAGGGCGTGGCCTCCAGGCGGAGTCAAGGGTCAGCCTTTGGCTGCTCACAGGTCCTCAGAAAAACTAGTGAAAGGGACTGGGCCTGTCCTGTGCTCTTGTCCAGCAAGCGGTGCCACAGACCTTGCAGGGAACAGCTGAAACCGTGAGTTCTCCAAGTTCCTTTCCTCTGCAGCTGGGCTTCCTATGAAGGAGTTGTTCTGAGGCAAAACAGCACTACTTGGAACAGCCTCTCCTTGCAAGCTGCCCAAACACCCATTATCAGCAGAATAAATGGTGCAAGTCACTGTTCAATCAGTGGAACTCTCTGAGGCAGAGAGACTTGAGCAATCTATGCTTATGTATAATAAAATGCATGCATCTTAAGGAATAGGTGGAGAGAAAGAAGGCGGGCCAGACAGGACATGCTATGTACTTTCATTTTCTTAGGAATCAGAGAGTGATTGGAGGAAGGCACCGAGTGCTTCCGGCAAGCTGGTGATGTGCCCCCCCCCCCGCCATTACAAGTTTATTTAACAAAAAATTTAAGGGCTGGGACTATAGCTCAGTGGTACAGTGCTTGCCTAGCAGGCACAAGGTCCCCAGTTTTATTCCTGGCATCAAAACAAAAGCAAAAACAAAAATAAAAACGCCCTCAAAACAACAAAGAATAAAAACAAATACAAGTAAACAACAACAACAACAACAACAACAAAACCCAAAAAATTTAATGTGAAAATGTATTACCCAAGACCCAGTTGGTTTTTTCTGTGGCCAACTCAGCCCTCCCGGGGGACGCAGCATGTGGTGCCAGGGATTGGAGCGCGGTGCCTGTGCACTTGCCTAAGTAGACGTTTTAGATTGCTGAGCTATCTCACCAGCCCCTCAAGACCCACTTTTTTTTTTAAAATGTATTTTTAGTACAGGGTCTACAGGGTCCCACTACACAGATTGGACTCGTGGTGATCCTCCTGTTTTCAGCCTCCCAAGAGCTGGGGTTACAGGCACCGACTACCATGTCCAGTCTCATTTGCTGTCTCAGCATACCCCGGGGGGGCAGGGCTAGCACAGCAGGCTGGAGATCGAATCCCTGACCCCTTTGCCTAAGCAGGTGCTTTAATCCACTGAGCTATCTGGACGGCACCTTTGTTATAATAAGATAGGCTCTTTGGAAAAGGGATTTCTCTGGTCCTACTCACTTCAGGGCTTCTGACCTGGGGATGGTCTTTCTGGCCATTACTACCATTTCAGGGCTGCTCTGTTGCTGCCTCTCCACATTGTTCTATCCCAGGACTCATAAAGGGAGCACATCATAGCAAGATTCCTTGAGTGTGTCTGCCACCCCTCCAATTCAGTGGTGACTTCTTGTCCATCGAATGTTCATCTCAGGATGGTGAGCTTTGCTTCTGGTGTCTACTTTATTGATTTGATTTGATAGATAGGGTGTCACTATGAGCTAGAGGGTAGTTCAGGCTGGTACTGAGGTTACTGTGGAGCCCAGATTGGCCTTTAGTATGTTGTGATCCTCCTACCTTGGCCTTCCTCCTGAGTGCTGGGATTGTAGCTGTGTACCTTCGTGCCTGGCTGGTGTTTGTGCCTTCAGCCTGGTGTTGGTTATGTGGATGTGCTGATGGTGAAGGTGCATCAAGCTGTGCTTGATGTGGTCACCTGAGGACCCCAGGTGATCTGGATGGGGGTCAGGGCTTGTGTGGGCTGTGGCGCTAAGGGATGGGACTGTGGCCTCTACACTGGCTTAAGCTTGCCTAAGTAAGTGCTTTAGACAGCTGAGCTATCTCACTGGTCCTGGACGTGTGCTTTTCTGAATGTACATTGTATTTCAGTAAAAAAATAATACACAGGTATATTCTACATGAGAACAATGTATATTTTATATACACTTTACATTTCATCAAAGCTGAGAATAGAATGGTGGTTCTCAGAGGCTAAGGAAAATAGGGGAAGGAGAAACGGAGAGTGACTGACCAGTGGCTACTAAATTATGGTTATATAGGAACAAGAAGGTCTAGTACAGCTGGGTGTGGTGGCCACACCTGTAATTCTGGCTGCGTGGGAGGCTGAGGCAGGAAGATGAAAAGTTTGAGACCAGCCTGGGTAATTTAGACAGATTCTGTCTCAAAATAAAAGAAAAAAGGATGGGGGTGTTTAGCATGTGTGAAGTCCTGGGTTCAATCCCCAGTCTTGCCGGAAAGAAAAAGAAAGAAAGGAAAGAAAAGAAAGAAAAAGACAAATCCCACATGTGTACTATTGCTCAGTGGGGAGGAGACTTAGATAACTATGCAGCATTCATTTCTCTTTCTGTGCTATGGGGGATTGAATTTAGGCCCCCACACTGGGCTACAACCTCAGCACTGAGATAAACTTGAAACAGGGTCTCGTTTAGTCCCTAAATTACCCAGACTAGGTTTGAACTTACAGTCCTACTGCCCCAGCCTCCAAGAGTGCTGGGATAATAGGCATTCACCCCTGAAAATGTTTTCACCCTGGATTATAAATGTTTGAGGAGACTGATATGTTTACTCTGATTTAAACATTATAAAATGTATACATATATCCCAAATATCATATAGTAAGTACCTTATTAAAATTTACAATTTTTACCTATTAGTAAAAAAAAAATTATATTTAAAAACAACAACCAAAACAACCACCACAGGGCTGGCGAGATAGCTCAGCGTTCTAAAGCACCTGCTTAGGCAAGCTTAGGCAGGTGCAGGGGACTGCAGTTTGATTCCTGGCACCACATGCTGTGCCAGCCCTGCCCCTAGGGCGAGCTGAACTGGCCACACACACACACACACACACACACCAATCAACCAACCCCACATACAAAAGTATCCTTTAATTTCACATGCTTTATCGGAGATTGCTGCAGTGAGCACCAATCTCCTGCCAGGTAACATGGCACATGGTGGATGGAAAAAACAAAGAACAAAACGGTGGTACAGCAGGATCCAGAATGACCATTGTTCATGAGGAACAAAAGGCCACAAGGCAGCCAGAATCTTGGCATTTACTGATTGAGGGCCATGATGATTATAGACTCTGAGGATCTTGCCCTGGTGCATCTTTAGTCTTAGTGGTCTTAGTGTTAGTCTAAGTAGGTGGGAGAGGAAGGCCCGCCCCTAGTGGGATAATGGGTGTTATGGTTTGTGTGTATTTGTCCCACCAAAGCCTCATGCAGCCAGTTTATGATTAATTCATGCTGAGATTATGGGTCTGAGTACTGCTGGGATTATGTGTCTGAGAACTTCAGGGATTGTGGGTCTGAGTACTGCTGGGATTATGGGTCTGAGTACTGCTGGGATTATGGGTGTGAATGCTACACCCAGCCTGGGGCAGATAGCCTGAATGTAATGTAAGAGAGACAGAGAGACTTGCTCTCTGTTGCCATTGTTGCTGTTACTCCTCCCTTTTGCTCTTGCTGTTTTGCTGCCTTCCACTGCCGTGAACTGCTCTCCCCTTCCATGTGCCACTCTGCCTTGGAGCCAGCTGAGTATGGACTGAAACTTTCAGAAACTGAGATAAATAAACCTTCCCTTCCTTCATTTTGAGTGTTGGGTATTTGTCCCAGCAATGAGAGAAGAGTAACAGAGATAATGGGAAATCTCAAAAGCACGACACCCCAAATCCAAGCATCCCTTCATCCCTTGGGGAAGTATGCAAAGCTAGCCATTGTGAATTTGTGGTCCACGACAATGCTTAGCCACTGTCTTTTCTGTCACAAACAAGTATAGGAGCCTCTAACTTTGGTTTGCATCAGAATCAGGAAGGACAACTGGTCCACTGGATCTCTGGACTCTGTGCTCAGGGGTCCAGACTCTAGCTCTGGGGTGGGATCAGGACTCTGCTTTCCTAAAACCCGGTGATGCTGGTGCCACAATGCTGGGGCTGCACTGGAGCAGCACCCACCTGGAGATCAACGCTGGGCATCAGCCATCTCCCCTCCCCTGCCTCCCCACCCTCCTTAGGCCATTACCAGCTGATTTCTGGTCCCCAGCCCCTAAAGAGACCTTTGGTTTTCAAGGTTTGGGGTTTCTTGGACCAATAAAAGACTAACAGTCCATCCAAATGGAGGTAGTGGTTAGGGGGGCCATTTTGTAATTTTTCCAGTGATGAGGGTGAGAGAGGCGATTGGGGGGCAGGCAAAGCTGTCTGGGGAAGTAGGCATGAGCTGTTAATTATAAGATCTGGGAACACACACACAGATCAGTTCCCAAAGCCCAGCATGTGGAGTGGGAACCGGAGCAATTTGTCAGTCGGATGGCCTCGACCTGACATCAGCCTGAGGCGGGCCCGGCTCTGCCTCCTGAGGCCTGGAAGTCAAAGCTGTCACTGGTGTCCTTGAGATGTGGGTGACATAAAAGCGCATAGACACCAAGAAGAGCTCGCTACGGTGGCTTTCAGCACAACATCCTGCCCTGTGCCCTCCAGGGTGCACTTTTATCTTGTTTTTCCTTCTTTCACTTGGCTCAGGTTTGCTCTGCTGAGC